CATCAGATCTAAGTCAAGAAAAACATACAGAGGCCTAGGATTGTGGTATAATCTTCCATATGCCCCTCTTTTGTTACTTTCAAGTATATTTGTTGACGTAATTGCCAACTAGGATCATATGACATGATTTATGCACTACTTGCATGATTTTGTGTATAACTGGTGTATTTTATGCCTTAGGTTATGAGTTTTGATTGTAAACACGTGGATAGGGCCAAAACACTTGTGCAAGTAGAAATATATGTATTTTGAAAGATTTGGGATGAAAGTGATGATTTTGTGTAACATTCCATCCCCTTTTATGTTTTGTGAAAATTGGGGTTGAGTGGTGACTTTATTATGTAAGTGTTTTTTAATTGCATATGGTGCATTGTACAGGTCCGTTAGAGTTCATTAAGTGTGTTCAAATGGTTGGTATGAGCTATTGGCACATATCATTGAGTTGGGACACCCTATTTGTGAAATTTCGTGAAAAAGTTGTTAAAATAGGTTTTGGTGTCCAACTTTTTATGGAAAATGAGTTTGAGTGTGAACTATTGCCATTAGCTAGAGCTAGGAGAAAGCTCCGTGTAGACATCAAAACCACCTCAATCAGACATCGGACAGAGATTTGGGACTTGTCGAAAGTTCACTTCCTGTGCTGTCAAATGACAATACTGATACTGCCAAATTCGTGCAATACGCTATGGCGCACGGCACCTCACGCTATGATGGATGGTACAGAGAAGACAAACTGCAGCTCACATGTCGTAAGCCATGATGCATATGTCATTTTTGCACAAGATCTATTTTTGAGTTTTTAAAACTCATTATTTTAGGTCCCAATTGATTTCTAAGCTTTCGTTTTACCTTCAAAACTCTAATTGGAGATTATTAAATAATGTTTGAGATTCGACATGTTGAATTTGGGATTGTTTTAAAAAAAAGATTGGAGAAATTCCCTTTTGATGAAGTTTTACAATTTGGTAATCTTTTGAGGGTTAAACCTTAAATTTGCCATGATTTTCAGTTAAACGTGGTTTAGTAAGGGAGGCCTCATGGATATTACAGTTGTTACAATTTGGTCTCTTGGTTCATACATCATTAGCCATTTATAGGGCCTTGATCACATCCACATAGATAATGTATACTTGATTGAACAATTATATAACCAATACCACACACATATATAAATTTGACCTGTAAACTGTCATAACACATAACTTGGGCAAATTCTCATTTCTTTATCTCATTCATACCTAAGGCCAAATCTTATATACTAATCAAGTATTCATCATATTCACACGTTCTCATATTCATCCACTAGCCTATATTGCCATTTTCATCACATACACACATATACACCATAGTCTAGGGAACCAAAAAACCAAACATCACAAACATTTGCACCAATATGCACATGTTTTTGAATCCTAGGGCAACTTATACATTTATACAATACAACTTATAATGTAAGTCATTATACTAATTCTTATTAAGGCTTTTTGGAGAAATCTCTATTCTCGACCTAGTTCTTTCCCTTTAGCACTACTATTATTAGAACTTGAAAATATAAATAACCACGGGTGAGATAAAAATATCGGTAACCAATATAGTTTATTTAATGTCTATTAGCATAAATAACCATCTTAAGGTAATAAAAACCAAAGTATAGTATATATATCTATCATAACATGGCTTAACTCATAACTTTTTTATCATATAAATTATTTTCACACTCTAGCATGATCATCTATCCACTCTAAAGCTCCCTAACACAAAATCATAAGCTCTACCAGATTAATCACTCATTGACTCGAGCACACTTTCGGTAGTAGAAACACCTAGCCAAAGGTAATCTATCCCACCTACGTACTATGGTTTCCCTCATTCATACACTTATGATAAAGGTATCGTTGACTCTTAATCGCATCCTAATGAGCAATAAGGAGTTGCCAGACTGCCTGAATGTCCCATGGTAGCAGTCTTAATATATGCTATACTAGATTACCTATGGTACTAGCCCATAAAATGCTATACTAGATGTCCCATGTTGCCTACCCAATTATATGAATTTGTTCATACCTATCCACACACACACATATTCCCACATACCTTAAGTGAACTCCCACCCCCTATGATCATGCTTTTCATACACATTTCACTGCTTTCCTATATTCACATGCTTATATTCACACACACACACACGCGCGCGCGCGCGCACGCACACACACCCCTTTAGGTAAGTTAACGGCCATAATCAGTAAACTTCTATTTTACAATTCCATTTCATGCTAAAAACTATTTATGAAGCAAAATCATACATAAAAACTAACAAAACCTTGATTCCACAATTATGCAATTACTTTTACTCAATTATAATAACTAATAAATATAACAAACTATATAGTTACCTTAATCCTTCTTCTAATAGAAAGGGTTACCCATATTCCACAACCCTATTTGAGTTTCTTTTGCTATTCAACTCATTATATCCAAGAATCTACACTAAGTTAGCAAGCCAAGGTCAATTGTCTTACTGACTAAAAGTGCCAATTATAGCAATTTATCACCTAATCACTATCATTTCCTCTATTCATGCTTGCTAACATGCATTACAACCAATTAGCACTCAATACAAGCACTAACCTTAACCTAGTTTGATTTCTCTCATTACTCTATCTTTAAACTAGGTCAAATTGAGCTTATAACTTTAAAGCTCTATCATTTTGACTCAAACTAGTCACAAAGTACTAGTTTAGTCCCAAAGGACCTTTCTATTACTATAGAGTAAGAAATCAACTCCTTAAAACTTTCAAATTCAATTTTTTAATACTTAAAACAATGAAAATAGGGTAGAATCAAAGGTTAAGGCAGTACAAGACTTACCTGATAAGTAACAGGTTGGAAACATCATCCTTTCCTCTGAAATTGCTTGCCCTAGTAGAGTTCCCCCTTGTCCTCACTCTCCCATGCTCTTTTCTCTGCTTTTTGACAAGTAAGACATGTCTAACTTATTAGAGTTCTACACCATGCACCATGATACAACCAGCATCTGCCGCAACTCGTGGCATAGTATGGAAAATCCTTACTATACTCATGCTCCACTTTGAGATTCCATTTTTTTATTATATATGTTCACACATTACCCCTAACGAGTCAAAATAACACTTCACTATCCAGAATCCTAATATTACATTAATTATTAATTCATTCCTTAATCAATATTAATGTAAGATTAGAGATTCGGGATGTTACACCTTTTGAGGTACAATTTTGGAGATTATTTTCTTAGTTTCTATTGAGGTACGGTGTTGGAGATTCAAACTCTTTAGTATTGATGTGATGTGCTGTTAAAGTCAACAACACGTCATTGTGTGTATTGGGGGAAACTATAGTCCAAAAGTATATTAGAACACTTTTGGTCGAGTAATTTTACCATTAAAGGTGAGCTTAGGGCCAATGAGATGTATATTTGTTTAAGGTGTGCATATGATTTTAAGTTAGGATGATTTAGAGGTTCAGTCAATAATGATCGTACTATGTGTTAGTAAAAGAAATGAAATGTGGTGATTATAGTTCAAAAGTAGTGAAATGTTATATTTAAGTGGTTTTAAATGAAATATGTTATATATGCTATGTTTAATGGTATATTATGCTATACTTCATATAGTTGCATGTGATAGTCAATAGTAGAGAGTTATTCTATTACTGAGATTATTATCTCACCCTCGTGGTTACATTTTCACAAGACCGAGCAGTGACCCTGGCAAGGAAAAAGAGTCAAGACCAGCTTAAAGTTGTTAAAGTTGTGTGATTGTAGAGCTTATGTAATGAACCTAAACTTTGTGAATGTTATGCATATAAGTTGCCATAAAGTTGAATGCATGTTTTAAATGCTTAAAGTTTTCGAACATTATGAATCTTTGTGAATCTTAGCCCCTGTGTGGAAATATGTGGTGAAATGAATTGTATGGGCTAAGAGTTAGTGGAAATATGTCACAAGGAGGGTCAGGGCATGTGGCTCTGTGCCATATGCCACGGTGCATGTGTTGTCTGCCTCGACACATGGCCTATAATCTGACCTTGATACTTTGTTTTAAATTCATGCAATGACTGATATGAATGCAACTGTTTGTTTTCTACTGCGCATTGCTCTGATGTGCTATGATTTTGATTATTTTGAAAAATAAGTTTTGGACCCAAGATTTTCAAACAAGATATTTGATTATGGTTTGACATTTTTAGTGTGGTGATTAAGTTAACCCTTTCCAATATTAAGTGAATATTAGGAGAGATTGCAATATCCACTCCAAAGTTTTAATATTAAAGTTGGGACCATAAGCTAACCATCTTAATGTATCAGAAACATTGGACTTTTCATGATCGTCCTTTACCTTTGCCCAAAACTAAAGTGGGAAACATTTGTTATCCTAACTTCGCTGCCATTTCTCAGTCCTTTTACGATTTTGAACCCTTAATTCCACTTGATGTTTGGTTAAGTAATCCTGAACTTCATTAGTGTTATTCAAGATATATAGATATGTTTGTTGCACTTCCTCATGTGTCATAAGCTTTACTTTCATCCCTCATTTAAATTTTAAATTCAATTTTATTTTCAATCATAATCCCCCCAATAAGCCTAATTTCTAATAGTCTAGTTTTGCCCTAGATATTTCAGAAATTGCTCTTGAACAACTGCAAACCAATTCAAATTGATTCGACCTGGGTTGCACCCCCTTGCTACGTAATCCTTATCCTAGTTTCTCAGAGGCATTAGGACATGGTCATCAATATTATAAACTGAAATTTAGAGATACATAATTCAAGACTCTAACAGCATGGGTAAGAAGTACGTATGGGCGAAATGTATATGGCCAAGGATTTGCCTAGATCGGGGATCAAACAAGCGACAAAACTAATATAGAAAACCATAATGACACATGAATAGAAACAATAAAAACGAAGAATAATATAAACTCCCATAAATCTGAACAAGCAACGACAACAAATGAAAAATCTCACAAACAAATTCAAACTTCCATTATTACAAACGCCTTTGAAGGTACTTAGAAAATGCAGTTCCAAGCAGACCCTTGGACTACATGAGTACATTACAAGAAGAGATACATCAAAACAACTACATGCTTTTCTAGTACAACATATTTTTCCTCGGCTGAGAAATATGCCTGCGAAATTTGGTTAATTTTGCTATATCACTCCGGAGTGGCAATAGCAGATATGCAAATACGGGTATGGGTATAACAGCAAGCACAGAAATGAAGATTGGAACCCACTTCAAACCATTGTAATGAGGGCTATGAGTATGGGTATTGTTTTTAAAATACATCATGAATGCACTACTAAATGTTATCATCATGCTTATTATGGAGATAAACAGTGTGAACATTCCAGTTATCAACTTCCTGGGCAATGACTCGTACTGAAAATCATATTCTTCGTGGCGTGAGATGAGGATGGAGAAGAAAATAAATATGGAAGTTGAGGATGAGATCATTGCAATTGCATCAAATATCGAAAATATCATGAACCACATTTTCTCATTTACCAAGTAATGAGGGCTTCCTGTTTGGTCTTCCGTGCCACCTGGTATACTAAATGTAGCAGTAAACACTCCAGTACTAATAAGAGTAGAAACAACCATGCAACAATTTGTTGTTTTCTTTGTCCACGACTCTGCTTTTTTCAGTAACTGTTCATGCTCCACTGTGAATAGTTCGTGAGGAGTCAAGCCTTCTTTATTCTTCTTCTCTATGAATGATGGTGGCACTATCTTCTTCACCTCCTACCAAGTTAAAGGATATGTATGCATTATGTTATCATTATCAATATTAAATATTAAGTCTAGAATAAGCTGTGCTACTAGAAGCTAATCTCATTTTCCAAGAGCGAGAGTGTGAATGTGCTGTCCGTGCGTGTGAGTGAGAATGTGCATGTTGATCTCTCTCTCTGTCTCTCTTTGTGTGTAGCAAAATACCTCAAACCATAATAACTCTAGGGTCATCTGAAATGCTGCTCCGGAAACTAAGTTTAGTTGTTCCTTTCGTGCCAATTTTGCAGCCATGTGCAATAAGTTGTTTTTCTCTGATCCATCAGATTTATCCTCATAAGTTACTAGTATATCTTTGATTGAGCCAATGTCATGTATGAAACCAAAGATATCGGCATGTCGATTCAAAACTGCAATATGAATTATGCTTCGATATGTATTATCAGCTTCCCATATCAAATAAGGATAGGTACTTGTAAGGTGAACGAGAAACTCAAAACTCCCAACTTCAACAGCGTTAAATATCACATGTGAAGGCTTTGTTATCTCTGTCATGATCCTGTCCTTATCATTTGACTCAAGAATTATGTTCCACAATTTTTTTACAAGTTCAAGTTGCTGCGTTTTCTCCAAACCTGAGAAACACAACACGACCCTTTAGTTAGTTTAGAAACTAAGTTAAGAGAGACAAAGCTGAAAACTAACATTAAAATTAAATACATTATCGTTCCACAAAAATAATGTATTTAGTTTCAATTCATATCACCATTTCCCTTCTGATTACAGGTAATTAAATCCACAGCCATATTATAGAAAAAAAAAAACTAAAATCCCTGAATGTCGTAAATGCAAATGCACAGCTGAACTAAACATAGTAAACAAAGATGAATTTATTTGAATACCAACAAGGCTTCGATAAAACATTTGTGATATTGATAGGGCTCTAATGATATTCTCACTATTAATAATCAACATTAGTTTCAAAAGCACGTGCCAAAAGTTTATAGATCAATGGATAGTATGTGAAAAGAAAAGGAAAAGAAAAGAATTCACTTGCCTAAAGGTTTGCGAGACAGTATATGCAATACTGTCTCGCCTGCTTCATCCCTCGCGAGAGCCAGATTTGAGTTCGTATCCAGCAACTTCATGGCTATATCTGGACAAACGAATAAATAAATAAAGTCATAGTTTTGTCAAAGTTTAACATAGCATATGATATCCCATGGCTACAACATTTTTGGGCTATGGCAGCTTAACGTTGCAACAGGCAAGAACGTGTTGCTTGATATAAGAATAGGCAACAGTTTTTGAAGCGTCACTTCAATAGTCTCTTGTTTTGTGCATGTGTTTTGTTCAGATGTATGGTTTACTTACCATATATTCCGGAGTTGACACAGCAGAATATCAGCGTCTCCCAGTCTTTACTTTTATATTCAGAATTCTTGGAAGTTTTTCTGTATAGATGCTGTGCCATTTTAGTTCTTCCTTGTAAAGCAGCAACGTGAAGAGGAGTGACACCTCCGCAACCCCTTTTTGTTCCCAACCTCGAATTACAACGCTCCATTATCTCAACTATCTGCATATTCCCAGACGCTACGGCGAACACAAATGCAGTGTTCCCATTCACGTTTGGCATTTCCATATCTGCTTCGCTGATCATTTCATTCCTCACCAGCTTGCGAACAAAGTCAGCCTGGTTCGCTTGAGTGGCCACATGGAGAATCGTCTCATGACGATTGGTTAGGTCGGCGTAAACTAGCTTCGTGTCATCCGCTAAAATGTTCCGCGCTACTTCCCAATTACCTTTCTTTGCTGCATTGTAAAGCTCTAGGTATGTTTTTCTTTGATTATCTACAGAAACAAGTTAATGGAGGTCGTAGATGAGATATTTGAATTCCATGGTTGATACAACGTATTTGAATTTCATGATAAAAAGGAGAATGACAAGTAAGGACCTTATAAGAACATTTATATTAAATTATGAATTTTGGTATTGAAACATGGCAAAAGGAGTAATAAAATTTTGAAACGTGAGTGTTGAAAACTCCTAATTTGACATTAATATTTTTACAAGGTCCTTATTATCATTCTCACTTGTAAAATCATACGTTGCTCTGCAAAAGGTGATAAAATATTTGACTCATTTTCAAAAATTCTGTTATCTTCTTTCTCTTACCTTTAATAATACATTTAGCTAGGGTCGGCTTTTTTAGTTTCATTCATGAAAAAATCATTTATTTTTTAAAATCAAATTTGCAAACAATCAGAATAGAAAAAGTAGATTTCTTATTATTTTAAACTATTTTGAGTACCTTCTGGAATCAATACGATGCTAAAGATGAGGGAGATTTTTTAAAAAATGCGAGATATAAAAAATTTACAATAATTAAATAATAAATTATTTTCTTGAAACAGAAATCAAGAAATATGTTATAGAATTTAAAAATAACTAGCTAATAATAATCACTCTTTTATTATTACAACCAAACATAAAATAATGTATGTTTTCTTACAAAGTCTTTACAAGATAAATCTCTTCTCATAAAATATTTAAATTATCTAAAAATCACCTATTTTTCAATTTTAAACAAACAGGCCTTAATACGATTAAGAGAAATTTTAGAAAGGAATAATAAATTTGACATTTAATTAATTTCCTTAATCTAAATGAAAAAGTAGTTAACGAGTGATGCTTATAAAATAGAGGGTGTGATGATGAAGTGGTTGAAATTCCATGATCTCCTGGGGAACTTCCCTTTCGTCTGACGCCGTAAATGTGAAGGAATGTGTGGCTCAAGAGGTTGTGTTGATGATGGTGTGAAAATCTCACCTGCTGGAGAACTTCCACCTTGCAGAAGAGATCTGTATTGTATGAGTTAAATAACTAATTTAAATTTCTCTTGTCAACACACTTGAATTAAGAAGAAAAAAATTGAACATCTTCTATTGATGAACTTGATAGAACATTACAGAGAAATCCTTCGCTTGGAGAATTGTAAACCAATCCTAAACTATGAGAAGAAACCATGAATCCCAGATCACTTTGATGAGATGAAACCTCATTTAGCCTCAATCACAATGTGATACCCTTTATATATATTTTAGTAGGGTCATCAACCAACTAAGTGATTAACACTAATCACTTCTTAACTAACTAATATTCCAACAACTCTCACGGTCAGGAATTTTAGAATCTCAGAACAAAATTAAAACTTACTGATTTTAACGATGTAATTTCGAACATTTTACTACGATATTTTCAAAAAAGAACTTAACTATTTTAAAAGTGAAACTGATTAATTTTTTTTCAAAGGTTGCTGTCATTTACTTCGACATGCGTGAGCGCTCGCAATTTAATCCATGTGCGCGCGCGTGTTTGTGTATAATGCAAGCACGATGGGATTGCAAGAATGAGTGGTGGAATTATTTAAGGAAAAGAAAATGATGAGAAACATTACGGTTGGCTTGTTTGTGAAGACCAGCCACCACCAATTGTTGAATTCGGTCGCTGAATCTCCGGCGAATGGTTCATGTTCGCAGGTTCTAACCAATCAAGAGACAGATTCAGAGCGGTTTATTAGCAGAAGAATACATAAATGAAGGAAAAATAACGAAGAGGGAATGGTGAAAATTTAATCACCAGAGAAGAAATGGCTCACTCTTTCGAGGCTGCTCTATCTTCTCTCGCGCGTGTTCAGGACTACTGACAAGTGAAGTCCTAGCAATATAATATAGTTATGATCATTAATTGACTGAATTGAACTAAACTAAATTTTGCTGGCAGATCAGAAAATTAAAGCCTGAATGTGACAAAGACATGGTTGCCCTGTGTAACAACAAATTAAAGGGACGACAAGATAATATATTTGTATCATCAACAAAGGAAAACAATAGTGACGTGTAAATTCTCGGAATATTGTTGTAGTGGTCGAACTTCAGTCATGAAAGATGAAAGCCGACAAGACATACGCGGTAGGCGCCTAACAGTATCTTCGTCACGCCTCAGTGTGTATGTGACGTAATAGGATTTGGATTGGGTGGAAATATTGAATCCACCCACTCAATCAGCTTCTCAATTACACTAATTAAATTTTATTAATATTTAAAAATTATTAAGACATATACATTTCTTCTAAAAAATTTAAAACAATCTTTATTTTTGGAACACTCCTCATGTACGCTGTCTCCTCTAAAAATTTGAGATTTGACATTTTTTGAATATTATAAGACAAAACTTCTCACAGCAGTTCAATCAAATTAAATAATCATCATCATATCGCGTGAAACACTCATTGAGTTAGTAGATTTAAGTTAACTCATTAAATCCAGACCCAATATATGGGTATGAGTATAATTATGTATATAGTCCTCTAGGCTCTGATTCTATTTTTAAGATACTTTTAACATGTTTTATCGGAATCAAGAAAAACATTAAAAATCATTAACTCTATCTAAAAATATATTAATTTTTTAACTTTACTTTTATTAAGTATACATATATTGACAACATATTTTCTCTGTCCAATATTCAATGGAGGTCAATTGAGGAAATTTGCGATGAAAATTTAATAAGGTGACTTATAAACAGGACAAACAAATTTTATCTCTCTACCCTATAAATAGGAACAAAGAGAGTATGTTGCAGTTAAAAAAGAATAATAGATCAATTTATATGAACTTTATACATATGATTATGGTGTTTATATGTGAATGCATGTGAAAGTCTAAATCATATTATATAATTAGATTATATTGATGTCTTCATGTTAAAAATAATCTAGACTTTACTTACCCCTTAACTCAATAGGTTATTACCATATTTCAAATAGTTTCTCTGGAACACAATACAAGTAATTGTTAATTAATTAATTTACACTTTTGAAATAAACCTTGGCTAAGATCTTAATTTTCTAAAATTTTTTACATATTTCTGTCCATACTCTTGAGTGTAATAAATATAACATTTAACTTATTCAAAATACTTTCATTAATTATTGAATAAAATAAATGTACAATTGAATAAATATATATAACACTCACCAATTGTCTTATATTTTAAACTAAATAAAATTTTTAGAAAACGACTTATATTATAATTCAAGAAAAGAAGGGACGTGTTTTGGCAACAATAAATCATAGCTGAGTATGAACTTTGTATATTTATGACGTTCAAGCTAAAGACAAATCATCACAAAGTTCACAGCATGTTAATTGGTATAAAGATTTTGGTTTCTGCACATGTAACACAGTTTGGTTTGGGTGCTCATCATGGTGATCTCTGTGATAAAATCTAGCCCATTCAGATTTTGGCATGAATGGTTTAGATTTAACCCATTAGTATATATTATATTTTTTAAAATAAGAATTTAAAAAATTACAAAATAATTTTAATAATTTTTTATTTTTAATATAATCTAAATTTATTTTGAGAGTCCAATTTGATATTAAAATTTTTAATTGATGTATATTGGCTATCCAATTGTATTCTGTACAGTCCAAATTAACATCAGATTAAATCTAGATTGTGAAAAGTACATCTGGATAACAATATACATCAATTGTAAAAATTTTAGTATTAAATTAGACCCTCCAAATTAAATCTAGATTATATTAAAAATAAAATTTATTAAATTATTTTTATAATTTTATGAATTATTATTTTAAAAATATAATATATAATAATGGATCAAATCTAGACTATTCAAATTAAAATTTTTATGATCCAGGTCTCAATACTATGATAAGCACCCAAATCGGGTCACATGTTACATGTTGCCTCCTCTTTATTTTAGAATCTAGACATGGAATGATGGAAGTGACATGAAAATATCAGAAAAAGGCCGAAATGGGTGGGGACTTGCTTTCACTACTTCACATCTCTTTTCCTCTGCTGCGATACGCCTTAGATTATACTCATTCCCATGCGCAAAAAGACGAGTGGAGTGGACTACGTACTGCTTCCACTCATTCAATAATTTGCCCCTCAAGGATGCGTGGTGCGATCCTCGGTGGCATCCTAAGTATAAGGGGGAAAATTTCATGTTCTGGCCCAAGGATAATTAAGTATTTCCGACTTCGCCAAAATAAAATTCGTTGACCCCTATTTTACTTTTTTAATGTTCAATCCTTGTACATTTAAAAATGTGATTTTCTCTCACATGGAATATAATTATACGAACAAATGGTATAAACTTATGAAATATATTAAAAAAAATTTGAGTGTCTCTAATAAAATATGATTTCTAAGAAACAATAATAATGATATTCTCTAATTTTTTTATCGGGTTAAATATTATTTTCACTCCTCAACTATTAACTCATGAGTATTTAAAATCCTAAGCATACATGCAATGTAATTTTTCCCTTCAACATTGGAAATGATGCACTGGCACCTTACATTAAAAAAACTTAACTTTGATTGTTCATTGATTGAAAAAATTACCAAAGAGAACCTAAGAAATTACAGAAAATTACACATAATTACTTTATAAGGAAATTAATATAAATTGAGTCTTCCAAATTATATATAAATAACAGGAAAACAAATGATATTTTTTACTCACATGAATTCAAAATACAATTTTGATAAACTATTAATTTAGAGACTTAATAGATATTAATTTTTTATAAGGTACTTATTTGCAATTTTATGAATCATTTTCTTTAATTTTTAAGCCATTTTTTGTAATTTTTTAGACAACTAACTACGAAAGTTAACTTTTTTAACGGCAGGTTCTGTAGTGCGCCATTTTCAAATGTTGAATAGAAAATTATATCATATATAAATTTAGAATACCATATGCTTTTGAGTAAATAGTTAAGGGGTAAAAATGCCCTTTAATCCTTTTTTATATTTAGATAATTCATCAACTAAAATAGTTGATTTTTTATTACTTTGTTGACAAACTCAATATTATGTTGGCATGTATTTCAAAATAAAGAGATTTTTTTTGAAAATTAATATCCTTATAAATTAATAGTTGTTTTTTTATTACTTTGTTTTGTTGACAAACTCAACATTATTCTTGCATGTATTTTTAAAATAAAGAGATTTTTTTAAAAAATTCATATCCTCATAAATTAAGGAATTTTCATGAAAGATTATGTTATGAATGCTGACTTGGAGGTTAAGCTGGCAAGGGACGTTGCTATTGATTTGGAACAAGTACTCGCCAGTGAAGGTCTAGAATGACTTTATGGACCATAAGGACAAGTGCACAGGCACAACTTGCAGAGATATAGTGGAGCAGGGCTTTAGCGCGGCACCTACACTTGCAAACCACCTCTATGATTCAATGACTTATGAGTGGTATATCACTACTACATAAATGACTTTTTACACTAGTTAAAATTGACAAGTTTACCTAGGACCAATGACTTTCTACACTGGTTATTGAATCGGTGCAGAATTTAAAGTAATATTTTTTTAAGAAAAGGGGAGGTATATTTTTAGGTCGGAGATGCTTTTTAAAATAATATATCAATGTGATTTAAAAATAAAGGAATTAGTCCAATGGCCTGAAAAAAACACAACTTCCATAAATTATGGATGAGGTCTTTGAATATTTTGAATTATCACATATCTCATTTCATTCTCAACTTTTCATCAAATCACTAACGATTCCATGTTTTCTCAAGAATTTCATCGTATCGCATAATACACTGGCATGATTTCTACTAACCGAACCTCCAAATCACCCCGACAGGAAACCATAGGCTCATCTTAAAGCAATGTACATTCTCATTAGTCTTGAGCTCACCTGCAGTGGTAGAATCACCCGGCCAAAGATGTTCTAACGCACAATACGGACTATGATTTTCCCCCAATGCACACAATGGGGCATCGTTGACTCCAACACCCGCATCACAAAGATACTAAGGAGTCTCTCATCTCCAACACCGTACCTCAATAGGCACTAAGGAGATCTTCTCCAACACCACATCTTTTAAGGCACTAAGGAGAATTTTTCCAACATTGCACCCTAACAGGGTACTAAGGAAACCTTTTCATATGGTCTTTCTCATCTTCTTTACTCGGGTGAACTCCCACCCCTATGTTCATGCTTTCCCAAACCATTTAAGGTTCTCATTTACCATGTCACACTTTCTTTCACATTATGTATATACAAATAATATTTTTTTATTACAAAACACACATTTCAATGCTCTTTTCAACTAGAAGTCATTTCACACACAACAATCACTCAATGCTATAAAACATGCTTAGTTTCAAACCATTCCATGCACTATATAGCAAATTAACATACAGTTATAATAAACCAGTCAAACAAAGGAAGTTACTAGGTTACCTCAACCCTTCTGTCACTAGAAAGGTTACCCGTGGATTTCAACTATTATACAAGCTTTTCTCAAGCTTCCTTCCTCCACTCACGTGCCTAATATGCCAATTTGAACACATTTGGCACATTTTAGTCATTCGGTCCATTTTGACCAAAAACTCATTTTTACTACTTAGAGCCATATTTATCTGCAAACTTTTTTCATTTATCCATTCTAAGTCCATGGCCACCCAATTACTACTTTAGATCACCTCAACCAGTTTTATTTCACTCAAAGTAGATTTTGCCCTAACTTTTCTCTCTCTAAAGGCTAAAATTGAGCCTACAGGTTTAAAGCTCTACCATTCAACTTTAAACTAGTCGCAAAGCTCTAATTTAACTTTTGAGAACCTTTTTATTACTATTGGGCAAGAATCAAACCCCTCAATTTCCATCGATTCAATTTCCCTATAACTCATTTTTTGAGAAATTTGTGTAGAATGGAAGGTAAGAGTTATACGTAGCTTACGTA